ATGGATGGTAGAGGGGGGACTGGATGGATTAATGGATGGATGGTAGAGGGGAACTGGATGGATGGATGGTGAAGGAGGTTATCTGGAGATGATTTCGGGGCATTAGTGTCCCCGTGGCCCGAGGACCGGACCTCTACCCTCGGGAAGCAGCCCGTAGCAGTTGTGTAACAGCCAGGTACCTAGTTACTGCTAGGTAACAGGGGCAACAGGGTGAAAGAAACATTTTGCCCATTTGTCTCCGACTCCACCGGGGATCGAACCCAGAACCTCAGGACTACGAATCCAAAAGCACTGTCCACCCAGCTGTCAGGCGCCCCTGGATGGGAACTGGATGGATGGATGATGGGGGGACTGGGTGGATGGATTAATGGATGGATGGTAAAGGGGAACTGGATGGATGGATGGTGAGGGGACTGGATGGATGGATGGTGAGGGGACTGGATGAATGGATGGATGGTGAGGGGACTGGATGAATGGATGGATGGTGAGGGGACTGGATGAATGGATGGATGGTAAAGGGGGACTGGATGGATGGATGGATGGATGGTGAGGGGACTGGATGGATGGATGGTGAGGGGACTGGATGGATGGATGGTGAGGGGACTGGATGAATGGATGGTGAGGGGACTGGATGAATGGATGGATGGATGGTGAGGGGACTGGATGAATGGATGGTGAGGGGACTGGATGAATGGATGGATGGATGGTGAGGGGACTGGATGAATGGATGGATGGATGGTGAGGGGACTGGATGAATGGATGGTGAGGGGACTGGATGAATGGATGGATGGATGGTGAGGGGACTGGATGAATGGATGGTGAGGGGACTGGATGAATGGATGGATGGATGGTGAGGGGACTGGATGAATGGATGGATGGTGAGGGGACTGGATGAATGGATGGATGGTGAGGGGACTGGATGAATGGATGGATGGTGAGGGGACTGGATGAATGGATGGATGGTAAGGGGACTGGATGAATGGATGGATGGTGAGGGGACTGGATGAATGGATGGATGGTGAGGGGACTGGATGAATGGATGGATGGTGAGGGGACTGGATGAATGGATGGATGGTGAGGGGACTGGATGAATGGATGGATGGTGAGGGGACTGGATGAATGGATGGATGGTGAGGGGACTGGATGAATGGATGGATGGTGAGGGGACTGGATGAATGGATGGATGGTGAGGGGACTGGATGAATGGATGGATGGTGAGGGGACTGGATGAATGGATGGATGGTGAGGGGACTGGATGAATGGATGGATGGTGAGGGGACTGGATGAATGGATGGATGGTGAGGGGACTGGATGAATGGATGGATGGTGAGGGGACTGGATGAATGGATGGATGGTGAGGGGACTGGATGAATGGATGGATGGTGAGGGGACTGGATGAATGGATGGATGGTGAGGGGACTGGATGAATGGATGGATGGTGAGGGGACTGGATGAATGGATGGATGGTGAGGGGACTGGATGAATGGATGGATGGTGAGGGGACTGGATGAATGGATGGATGGTGAGGGGACTGGATGAATGGATGGATGGTGAGGGGACTGGGTGGATGGATGGTAGAGGGGGATTGGATGGATGGATGGTGAGGGGACTGGATGGATGGATGGATGGATGGTGAGGGTGAACCTCCATCCCCCACATCACAACCTCCCCACACCCCAATCCTGCCACTGGACCCTCCCCCACTACCTTCATCCCCCACACTGCACCCTCCTCACTACCCCCATCCCACCACCGGACCCTCCCCACTACCTCCATCCCCCTCACCAGACTCCCCACAAGCTGTACCCTCTCAGCACCATCTGGATTGTATTAATACAGAAGGCTTCCTTGCTACCAGCTGGTGGATCAGGAGGCAGACCGCCTGACATTAAACTCTTGTTGTTTACTGACTGTGAAAGCCTGATTGTGTGTAAATGGCTGAATGACTGTAAATGCCTAACCGGTTGCTACCACAACTGACTGCTTGACTGCCTTTGGTTATGACTGCCTGTGAATGTTTGACTGACTTGTGACTAAGTGACTGGTTCTGTCTGCCACATAACAGAGGCAGTGAAATGTTTGAAAGGAAAATAAGGCATGCAGGGGACGGTCTCACCACCACCTCCTCCCTCCTCCTCATCCTCCTCATACACCAACATCGCTCTTCCCTCCCTCCCTCCCTCCCTCCCTCCCTCCCTGTCTGTCTCCCATACGCCAACAAGAGTCCCCAGTTAAGGTAAAGTGCAGTTAAATGTTCACTTATTTTATTTATGGTTTATATTTATACCTGGTTGTTTTGTATATGAAAAATATAAGTAGTATTCTGTACAAGATGTATTTTCAAGTTAAAATTTTTTGGGGTGTGGAACGGATTAATTCAATTTACATTATTTCTTATGGGAAAATTTGTTTTGATTTATGAATTTTTGTTTTACAGTATGATGCATCTCTGGGAACTGAATAGGATTGTAAACAAAGGTACCACTGTACAGTACATTGAAATGCAAGTTATATTTACTAAAATACTTCCTAAGATTATTAGCTTCATTAAAGCAAAAGCTGGATAACTTGGGTCATGATTATAAGAATATGTAAAGCTGCATCAAATGACCAAACACACACATTTTTAACCATCATTCACGAAAATGGGTGGAGAGAGGTAATGTTTGATTTACACCTCAAGCAGTACCTTACCTTGAGGTTACCTTGAGATGGTTTCAGGGCTCAATGTCCTCGTGGCCCAATCCTCGACCATGCCTCCTTGTTGCTGGACTGGTCAACCAGGCTGTTGGATGCAGCTGCTCGCAGCCTGACGTATGAGTCACATCCTGGTTGATCAGGTATCGTTTGGAGGTGCTTATCAAGTTCTCTCTCTCTCTCTTGAACACTGTGAGGGGTTGGTCAGTTATGCCCCTTATGGGTAGTGGAAGTATGTTGAACATTCTCGGGCCTCTGACTCTGATAAGAGTTCTCTCTCAGAGTACCTATTGCACATGTTCTTCAATGGGGGGTATTCTGCACATCCTGCCATGCCTTCTGGTTTTATGTGATGTTATTTTTGTGTGCAGGTTTGGGACCAATTTCCCCGTGTAAATTATTATGTCTCTCTCCTGCCTGCACTTATGAGAATACAGATTTAGGCATTTTAGTCGGTCCCAGTAGTTTAGTTGTTTTACCGAATGGATTCTAGCAGCAAAAGGATCTCTGCAAGTTCTCCAGCTTTGAAAGGGGCTGTCATTGTGCAGCAGTACTCCACTCTAGAGAGCACTTGAAAAGTATTATCATCGGTTTAGCATATCTTGTGTGAAAGGTTCTTTTTATCCAACCTGCCATTTTTTCTTGCAGTTGTGATGGCTACTTTATTGTGTTCTTTAAAGAACAAAGTAACGAACACAATTTGTGTTCGCTACTAAAGAAGACAATTTGTTCACAATAAAGAACACAATTTGTGTACTCATGTCTTCCAACATGAGTACACCCAAATCAGTTACATTGCCTTTTCGTTCTATGTTATGATTTGACTGCGTTTTGTTTGTGGTTAACGTTTTTATATTTTCATTTTTTCGTAGCGCATGACCTGGAACTTATCTTCAATAAACACCATATTATTTTCTGCAGCCCCATAAAAAGACTTGATCAACACCTGACTGGAAGTTTGCCGTGTCCTCTATGTTGTCTACTCTCAAAAATCCTAGTGTCATCTGCAAAGGAAGACACAGTACTATACATTGTGTCCTTGTCTATGTCTGATATGAGGATGAGAAAAAGTACTAGAGCAAACACAGTACCCTGAGGGACCGAGTTCTTCACGGTTGATGGATCGAATTTTATTTTGTTGACTATTACACCCTGGGTTCTTTTAGTCAGGAAATTGTAGATCCATCTGCTTATTTTCCTGCAATTCCTTTGAACACATTTTGTGTGCAATAACACCATCATCTTCTTCAGGTTATCTTGAGATGATTTTGGGGCTTTTTTAGTGTCCCCGCGGCCTGATCCTCGACCAGGCCTCCACCCCCAGGAAGCAGCCCGTGACAGCTGACTAACACCCAGGTACCTATTTTACTGCTAGGTAACAGGGGCATAGGATGAAAGAAACTCTGCCCATTGTTTCTCGCCGGCGCCTGGGATCGAACCCAGGACCACAGGATCACAAGTCCAGTGTGCTGTCCGCTCGGCCAACCGGCTCCTCACGGTCACACTTTCGAAGGCTTTTGCGAAATCTGTGTAAATTACATCAGCGTTCTGTTTGTCTTCCAGTAGGGAAGATTTAGTCACATACATTTTCAGGAAATAACATTTTTAGATGGAAAACAAATGCTTGGGTAGACCTTTGCATCTTGCTGCTGTGAATAAAATAATATTCACAATTGGGATTACATAAGGATCTTAGTTATTTTGTATTCCATTGTACACTGCACCACTAACCACAAGCATGACCCTACTCACCTAACAATCACATGCTAGAAAGGGGACAGACATGAAGCACTAAACTATAGACCAGTCATTACCGTGCATTTCATGCAAGATACTAGATTCGACAAAGAGCTAGATCTAACGTCTTCATATTCAGACAAGTAAGAACTAAACCAAGCACCACAAGCACAACCCCACTCACCCAACAACCACAAGTATGACCCACCTCAACCAACAAGCACAACCCAGCTCCCATAAGCAAGACCCCACTCAACAACAACACTTGCCAATTTGCCCAATAATCACACACGACCAAGCACAACTCCACTCGTCCAATAACCACATACAGAGCACCACTCGCCTAGAAACTACACACACATGTTCACTCCCTAGACAACCAAACGCATGATCCAATTTGCCCACAAACTACATGCACGACCCCACGCAATCAACAACTACAAGCAGTATAACCACACTAACCCAACCCTGCTCACCCAACCACCACAAGCAGAAGGGTAAAAGCAGTTTAACAGTGATAAGAATAAGTCTGGCAGATATTATTTCTTAATTTACAGCCATTTTACCTCCTCTGGTCCATCCCCATCATCATCATCTTCACCCTCATCCAATGACTTTTTATCATCTTCCTCATCTTTGTCATCATCGTCGTCGTCGTCGTCGTCTGATATCTCTGATGAGCTATCGCCAGTACCATAGGAACCATCAACCTGTTGGGAGATATATTTAAAAAAAAAAAAAAATCATCCATCTTTACTAAAAATAATTAACCCCTGCACTGCATGCCTTTTACATATGACAACTCTATGGTCCACCTACCTGTTGTTCTTTCAGAAAAGTCTTGGATTATTGATATTGATCTCAGTGTGCCTATTGCACCTCTTTTTTAGTGGGGCTATTTTGTGGTGTTATTTCTGTATCAGATTTAGAACCAGTCATTTTAATATTTTCCAGATTTTCCAGGTCTAAATTATTGTGTATCTCCTACTTGCACTCTAGGGAATACAGATTTAAAATTTTTAGGCAGTCCCAATAATTTGGATGTTTTATCGAGAGGATTCTAGAAGTGAAAGATCTTTGCATGTTCTCCAGGTCAGCAATTTCTCCAGCATTGAATGGGGCTGTTAGTGTGCAACAATATTCCATTTTAACACTTTCAGCCTCCCGGCGAATGTAAAAAAAACAACCGTATGTGCTCCCGGCGTTTTGCTGCGTAAGCGTAAAAACAAAAATGTGTATACTCTTTTTACTCTCCTGACCTTAGTTCTCGAGCTACGTATTTCATTTTGGTACCAACGTGTTCGCAATAAAATTCTCTAGAAGAACATCAGTAAAAAAAGTAACGAAACGTATAGGGAAACCAGCACCAAATAAATAACTACGAAGATGACTCGCCGTGAGCGCCCAACAGCAACAAAATGTTTTTACTCTTAGGATTGTTATCACCTCCACACTTGTCCTACAGCGTTAATTTTGGTATCAATGGACTCGCAATGAAATTCCCAACACGGTGATATGAATATAAGCGTAGAATAATGATTGTGGAAGTGGTGAAATTGTTACCCGGTATCGGTGACGGGACAACGCACGGCGCTTTGAAAGTTTATACTTATTTCACTCTCATGACATTATTATTCTATGTACGTCATTCATTTTTGTGTCAATGTGTTCACAATAGAATGTTCTATGAGCCCGTAGGTAAAAAAGATCAACAAAGCATAAGATAGAATAGCGCCAAATATAAAACAACGCTGGAACATATCAGTGAGAGTCAAACACACACGAAATGTTTTTACTTTTGTTATGTTTGTGAACCTTTCATGAACTTATTGTACCATGCAGCCTATTGGCCTATTGGTGAGAAAGAGAGCCTCATGGCGCACAGTTTGAAACAAACCCAAAGTAAATCGGATAAAAATTGAATTTTATACAAATATTTTAAAAGAGGACATAAGTTTATGTCCACTTAGCGGGAGCGGGTAGGCGAAACAGGACGCCGGGAGGAGTCCTGATCCGCAGAAAGTGTTAAATAGCCCTAATATCTTAACACTTTTGCTCGGGGATGACGCAGTATGGCATCAAAATTATTTGACGAACGTCTGGGAATAATGTTTCTGCGCGTCAAAAATTAAAAAATTTCGGCTTGGCTATGGGTGGGGCGCGTTGCGGTTTTGGACATTATATGCATATACTCCTGTAGGGAATTCTATTGCGAACACATTGATACCAAAATGATCTAGGATGAGAATTGGGGTGACCAAATTGAAAAGAGTACTGTATACACATTTTATTGTTCGTGCGTTCACGGGTAACACTGTAAAATGAATCAATGATGTGGCATATCTTGTTATCCAACCTGACATTTTTCTTGTAGTTGGGACAGCAACTCTGTTGTGTTTTTAAGTCTTGCTACATGAATACGTCTTAATCTTTTACATAGCTTTTTTTCTAATAGTGTGCATTTTTTTTAATAGTGTTTAGTTTTTCCCATAGCGTAGTAATTATCTTCAATTATAAGGAACTTAACTTCATAAAAAATCATGTAATTTTTCATGGCCCATTAAGATGTTTGATTATTATCGGATTAAAAGTTTGTGTTCTCTATATTGTCTACTCTCATTTAAATCCTAGTATCATCTGCAAAGGATGATATAATACTACAGTTTGTATCCTAACTAGACTAATGACACTGCAGGCAACCAGAGAAAGACAAGCCCTGGAACAGGGGACCAAAGAAACTTGATCACCCCAAGGCGCCTGCTGATGTAGAAGTGGTGACACAAAGGCAGCAATGGAGTGCCACCACAGGACACTGAACATGATGCCCCCCCTGCCAAACCAACCAAGCATCAACCAACAACGAACCCTTCTGGCAATGAATGGACTCATTCTTCACAAGAAAAGGAGTAGTAGTCTGCTGGAGATGAACAAACTGACCCCATGGACCAAAGGAACAAAAACCCCAGCGCTGAAGGAGAGCATGAAGCTCACAAACTCAGCAACTGAAAGCCAAAGAAACCGGGAAAAAAGAGCCTTGAGAAAACAATCCTGGACTAAAGGGGTCACAGTATACCAAGGGAAGACAGGAAGAACATACTGGCAGCCAGAATGAAGCCAAACGGGAAAATACCTGATCAAACAGGACAGAAACCCCACCCCAGAAGGAAACAAACCCCAAATCCTGATGGAGAACGGGACTAGCCAAGAAGCATCATAGGGGTCTAGGGAAACAGCCAAGAGACAATCCCACGAAGGAAACCAATCCTGGCAAATACAGACAGTCATAAAGGGCAAGGGAAAAACTGAGTTAGTTGCAAAGTATCAAACACCAGCAAAACCAGCTGGTGTACCAACATCGACTGGGAGTCCACACCAGCCAGTCGTCGAGGTAGGCCAGGACTCTAACTCCTAGCAGATGCAGTCGGGTCACCACGATCCGGGTAAGACGCGTGAATACGGGGGGTGCCAGATTCATTCCAAAAGGAAGGCAACGAAAGCGGTAAGCCTGATGCTCCACCACAAAACCTAGCCAGTCCCTAAACCCCAGATGAATTATGGATGTGCCAATACACGTCCTTGAAGTCCAGGGACACTCTCCAAGCACCTGGCTCCAAAAGAAGCCGGACCTGAAACAGTGTGTTTATCCGAAAGGAAGGGCAAGGAATTCTGGGGTTCAGACGGGAAAAGTCCAGAATGAACTGCAGATCCACACAGTTCTGTTTCGGCACTGGGAATAAGCGAGAAACCCACCTGAGGGACAGGGTCGTTTTAACCACGCCCTAAGCGCACCCACTCCTAGTTGACCTGACGACGCACAGGGAAAGAAGCCTGCCCCACCAGCCCTGAACCCCACGAAGGAGGAGCCGCCCAATGCCACCACAATTCGGATGACAACTGAAAATGCCCACAAATCATGGGACCAAGCACGAGCAAACAGAGTGAGGGCCAACGGCCCTTACAAGAAACTGGCTGACAAACAGAGCAATCATTGTGCCGACCAAACAACAACAGCTCCAAAGGCAAAGTTGGCTCAGAAACTGAACACCAATGGACCACCCTGACCAGCGGAACCCCCGAGCCCTAACACAACCCTTCCGAGAAGACCGAGAACGGCCACCCCGGAGAACCAAAAAGCCCGACATAGGACAACTAGATGAAGTCGCCTGCAGAAAATGCATGACAGCAGACTCCACAAATAGCAACGGAGAAAATAGTGATGAAAACCTAAGAACCAAGGCCCAAGCGCATTCCAAAGAAAGAGCGAGCACATCCTGTCAGCATGCGAGGCAAGAAGCAAAGAACAGAGACACCGCCGCCTTCAGGATAGGCATAAACAGCTTCAACAGTGCGGCCGATGCCCGAGCCACCGAGGACAGCACACCAGACGAAGGCCCGACAGTCAACACCTCCACATCCTCCTCAAGCCAGGTCAAAGACAGCTCGAGAAGGGAAAAAAGGCGCAAGCACAAAGCCAAATGCCCAGGGGCGTGCAAATCCTCAGCAACCAAGGATGCCAAAAGGGTAGGAACCTACATGTACAGCTGCACAAAGCCAACATCCCGAGACAGCACGGGCAAACAAGCAAGCATTAAGGCACTCCAACTTGCCCACCAGGTAAACCTGCAGAACGGTAGACGTTTCTCACCACTCAAGCGTGTGGGACCGACAGAACCCATGCCACGCCTCTAACAAAAAGAATGTGCAGTCTGCCAGCCAGGAAGACTCCAGAACCTCCAAACGTACCCAACACGAGGAAGAACCGAACTCAAATAAGGACGGATCCATCATGGAGGTGGGATCCGTGACTCGAAGGAAGTATGCAGCAAGAGCCTCACGAGCCTCCCGAGGGACGCTACGAGAGGCAGAAAACCTCAGGAAGGACGGGGCAAGGAACCCATGGGAGTAGGTGTTATTAGTTTATATTACTAGGTATTCTAAGGGGGCTTTTAACGTAAGATAGTGTGGTAAAGTAATTATTATTTTTGTTATTGGTGTGAATGTATATGGAGGGTTGTTAAGGGGTTAATAAATAAGTAAGTGAAGTAAGAGAGTATCAGTTCTTCCTGTGTAGGAGATCTTAAATCAACCTCTAGACTGACCTTGTGTGTAGCCAAGTATTCAGCACTGCTTAGTGTTTTATTTGGGGGCCGGGCCTTTTAGATCTCTCATTTTGATAACTCTTAATGCTTACTATTGCCCCTACATCCAGATAATACTAGGCCCCATAGTACAGACACTCCTATATAACAGACCTCTTGTTCCCAAAGTTCCAGGTCTCAGGTAATCTTCCCTATCAATTTTATCAATTCCTGTTACTATTTTGTATGTAATGATCATATCACCTTATTTTTCTTGTCTTCTAGTTTTGGCATATTTAATGCCTCTAACCTCTCCTCGTAGCTCTTGCCCTTCAGTTCTGGTAGCCACTTAATAGCATGTCTTTGCACCTTTTCCAGTTTGTTGATGTGCTGCTTAAGATATGGGCACCACACAACCGATGCATATTCTAGCTTTGGCCTAGCAAAAGTCGTGAACAATTTCTTTAGTATATCGCCATCCATGTATTTAAAAGCAATTCTAAAGTTAGAATTGCTGGTATTGCTAGGAATGGTAAACAACCACTTGGGCTCTAAGGTAGAGCGACGGTCTCGCTGCATGCAGGTCGGCGTTCAATCCTCGACCGTCCAAGTAATTGGGTACCATTCCTTCC